ATTGTACACAGGTAAGTTGGGAAACTAGGGATCGAGCCCTGGGATCTGTCTCAGCTACCACAAATTGGTGAATACCGTTTCAATAGTCCAAAAACACTGTAAAAAGCCTGGGCTGCCATGACGGGTTTCCACCACGCACCCTTGGATCTTGATGATGTAGGGCATTGTAGGCACTCAGTATTATGTTGTTTTTCTTTTTTCAGTTTTTGTTTGCACTTTATTTCGGGGCCTAAACTTTTTTTTTTTTTTTAATGTTTTTTAATGAGTTTTGCACATACTTGTGGCACATCCTGTGCGTGCCACTTGCGCACATGCGGTGCACTGCGCACATGGCGCGCGCACCTGGTGCGCCGCATGAGCGAAATTCGGGGTCAGCCAAAAAAAAAAAAAAGTTGGGGAGGGGCTGAATCGCCCAGCAAAAACTAGGACATTGCCCGCGCAATTTTTTTTCAGGGCCGCGCGTCCCCAAAAACTGTGTGTTGTCATGTTTGTTGTACACAACTCCATGCTATCCTCGGTGTATCTGAGTCCTTTCAGAGGTCCAATACGGTCATGATGAGGACGCGTGTGTGGAACCGTTGCTTTGGTCTCATTCCTTCCAGATATAGAAAATGACAGAACTGGCAGTTGTGTTTCCTTGGTGCTTTCGCTGAAAAAAAAAAAAGAGAGAAAAAGAGAAAGTCCGTGACAAGTTGAAAACCAACAGCGTGGAAACCTGCAGTCGCTATACACATGCACAAACAACAAAAAATATGAAGATGTATCTTTCCATGTTCTAGCAAAAGATTCATTCTACTTTTGCACAAATTGGAGAGTAGTCGAGTGAGGCCCAACTTACCTGCCACCAGAATCCGTAGGGCCTCTCTCTCTTTTTTTTTTTTTTTTTTTTTTAAAGCCCTTGTGCAAGCCCTCTTTCCCAGTGGTGGTACGAGAACCGCCAGGATTGAGGGCTTGTCGATCGGGCGGCTCCATCTATTGGTGGGGAGCTGCACCTCCTGGAAACCGGGTCCAGCGTCCCATTGATACATCTTGTAGTTCATCAATTGTTGGTCATTGTTTCCTGCGGCTGTGGTTATTTGTCTTGCTGGACCAGGACTCCATAGTCCCATGGAGCTGCTGCTAGTAACACCCATCCCTTCATGGAGGGCCTCTCTCAACTACACACGTCCGTTGCAGTGCCTCTGTCACATGAGGGCTGCAAGTAAGCTTCAAGTCCAGCTGTAGTCTGGTGCGATGCAAGGACCTCCACTACTGCAGAAAAGATGAAAAATATGGCAGTGTATCTTTCCATGCTCTAGTGGAAGATTCATTCTCATTTTGCACATTTGGAGAGTGGTGGGGTGAGGCCCCAAGCTACCGTTGTATGGCCCTCCCTCCACCACTCTCCAAATCTGCAAAATGAGAATGAATATTCCGCTAGAACATGGGAAGATCCACCGCCATATTTTGGTCTTTTGTGCATGTGGAGAGCAGTGGAGCTAGGCCCTATCAGTAAACAGGCTGTAACCGTTTCCCAAATAAGACAAAGACAAATAAGAAAAAAAAAAAGGAAAAGCGACGGGCCTATCGGGCTGAACAAAACGCTCTCCGTCGAGAATCCATAGTGTACTGTGTCAGGAGAATGGTGTAGTGGCATACCAGACAAACGCCTGTATCAACGGCACACACACACACACAAAAAAAAAAAACAAAAAAACAAAAAAAAAAACAAAAAAAAAAACAAAGAAAGGCACATCCGCAGGTGCGCGGGCATGGGGGTCACTTGGCCGTACTCAGCACGCTGCCCGTGAGCGCTCAGTGTGCGCGGTGCACACGTGCACACACATCACCCGTGCACACACATCACCCGTGAGCGCGTGGCGCACGTCGCACCGCTTAAGTGCGCCATCATGTGAAATACACATCTATCTTTCAAATTCTTTCAATTCACCTTGACTACCTACCTACTACTATTCCTAAGGCTTAGACAGGGGACCCCTGCAACCATAGGTTTGTTGTCTCCCTCCAGCCATCAATGCATGCTGCCCCCCGCCCCAACCATGGTGGTCAAGGATGGGGTGGGGCGCTGGGGGCGGGCCCGGCTAACACAAAGACCGAGCATTTTGCCAGTAGCTGCGCCTCCCTTTTCATCGTCCCCCACCCCCAATCGAATAACAGCAGTGTCTAAGGCCAACACTCTCCCACACACTACACACAACCCACTCACACTCACACTCAATTTGAAAGATAAAAAAAAGAAATACACATCTATAAATTTTCAGGGCATTTGACTAAGGCAAAAAAGAAAGAAAAATCACCATAGATGGCAGTGTTTAAAACGCGCCTGCCCACGCACTGATTCTAATTCTCTCTTCAGTTTTTTTATTTTTATTTTTATTATTTGTTTACCGTATTTTATTTTTTATTTCAAATTTTGTAACGAATTTGGATGTAACGCTGAGGCAAATGTTGCTCAATTTATTTTTCTGCATAACATGTATTGTTTTCAAAATTTTTGTATTGCTTATTTATTTTTATTTTTTGTGGGTCCGCATTCGGCCCGAAAGGCCAAACACGTCTACAGGGGGACCCGAACATTAGGGTGTTTGGGTTTGGCCGTTCATCCCCGGTCGCCGTCTACCATGGTTGGAGTACTTCTTTTGTTGACCCACTAATGGCTGAGTGGCAAAAATGGAAAATGCACTGGATCGGCGCGACGACTATTTTGCGGCTTTAATGTTTTTTTTTTTTTTTTCTGATATTTTTCCTGGAAAGACAGCAACCTGATCTACGGTTCTAAAATTTTCAGATTTTTCTACGAATTCTTTTGTGCACAAAAAATCGCCAAAGTTCCCTCTTGCAAATTGTGAGACGGAACTCGCTGGTACCCCAGTGGTGGACCACATTGAAGGGAGGACTGGTCCTCCAATTTTGCTACCGTGCCAGTGCTCCGCAAGGTAGCTCTAGGTCGCCCGTAAAAACGTGATGGACTGGTCCTCCCTCATGTTCTTTCCCCCCCACACCCCTTTATGCGGACCACATTGAAGGGAGGACCGGTCCTCCGATTTGTTACTGTGCCGGTTCTCCTCGCAATAGCTGCAGGTCGCCCGCCAAAACGTGATGGACCGGTCCTCCGACAAATTCTTTCCACAACACACCCCTTTATGCACTGGTCCCCACCCGCCCGAAAATGCGACACCTCTGTGAACTGACCTCAAACTCACCCCGAAAGAAAACTTGCCTCAAGCCACAATAGCTGATAGCCTGATACAGTAACTGCAAAAAAATACATGAGGCCTGGACCAGTCTACAAGTGAGGCTTAGGCAGGAGAGTGAGAAACGGAAACGAGAACAAGTGCTGCAGACTTTCCGGAACACGTGGATAGATAGCAATCAAAACTATGCAAGAAGGCCTGCGGGCTGGTAAGGCACAGAAGTTGCATTCAGGAGGTTGTGGGTTCAATCCCCATTGGCCTCACGGATGTGCCTGGGCAAGCTTGGTGTTCTACAAGCTAGAGATAACCCGGTGGGCCCCCAAGCCAGCAATAGCAGGACCTTGGCTGATGTTGTTGGCTGCTATGCAGCGGCAATATTGGCCATTAGATACCGCCATGTGGGGTTGGGCGGGGGTAGGGGGAGGTGCAGTGACTGGCCATTGCTCGGTGCTAGCACCGCCGATTTCCCCCATCAGCAATGCCTGCCCACCCCTCGTCACCGTGATGAGGGACTGGTACAGCCTTGCTCTCGCACCACAGCTGTGGTGCAAACCTAACCCGTGGGCTCGGGAGAGATTCGGGTTGGTTGGTGTTCCCCCATACTATAAATAGACTAGTGAGAGGATGAGATAGATGCGTACTACCAAGAAAAAGACAGAATATGAGATAGATGAGAGAAGAATTTAGCTTACTTCGAAAAAAAAAAAAAAAAAAAACTATGCAAGATGGACCAGCTTGATAGCCTGCAGCTTCAACCCGACGCCACTAGAGAACCCTAGACTCCTAGAGTCTCAAGTGCGACCTAATCCCAAAATTGTGATGAAAAAATACTTTCTGCAGTCTTCGTTCCATGTGCACTTGAGAAAATACTAGAGACGCCACCACTAGAGATGGTCGCTGGGCTGAGAGTCGCGGCAGGGTGGTTGAGGTCCTCGGCGGGTCATCCCTGATGGGCGCGTGGTTTGGAAAAATGTCCAGGCCTGCAGCGGCGCGAGGGACAATCAAGGGTCGTCGGGTCCACGCCATTGTTTGAAAATTCGAATATCGGTGTCCCGTGTTCCGGCGGTGACGCCCGACGAAGGGGGTGGGGCGTGCATGCAGCGAGGCTCAAGTAGACCGTGCACGTCGTCTCTTCCGCGAAGTGATGTCCATCACAGGGAAAGCAACAGCATTGGTGTGTGGCATGGCGGCGAGGTCCCCTGCACAGTCATGCACGGGAGTGCCGAGGCGGTGACACGTAGGGAGTTATCATATAGGGAGAAGGGTTTGCTGGTGAGTGCGTTGACGATGGTGTGCAGGCATATGGAATCCACGGCTGAGTTGAGGCGGCGTGCTTCGATACGTAGGCGGAACACGGAAGATGGAGGCGGCCATGAAACAGGCGATGGTGGAGCCGGCGACCTCCGGTGTTCTGTGGGACGCACCTTTCCCGATGGCGAATGCCATCATTGCCGGTGTTCTCCCTCGTGAGAGTCGGCGTTGGTGGATATGAAGGAGGACGGGAGGAACATGGGGGGACCTTTGCATATCAGACGACGCAACGTCGGAGTACTTCCACGAGAAGTTGAGGATGAGCAAGGACCTCTTCTGCGACATCATCGCCGCCTGCAGCCTGTATCTTCAGCGGCAGCTGACTCATTACCGTGTGCCTCTCCAGCCGGACCACATCGTAGCGTTTGCACTTTACAGATGGGCTTCTGGGGAAACCTTCGATAGCGTGACGTCCTCATTCAGGACCGGCAGAGCCACTGGGATCATCGTTGTACGGGACGTGACCAACACTATTTTGTTAGCATACCCTGACAAGATAGCCATGCCTACCGGACGAAGGCAGCGACAAGTTACGTGTGCGTTCACCGCGAAGGGCTTTCCAAACTGCTTCGGCGCCGTAGATTGCACTCATGTCTTTCAGGACAAGCCCGCGAACGCGCCGTGGGAGGACTACTATAATCGGAAGTAATAGTATTATGTGGTCGCACAAGTGCTCGTTGATCTGGAGCAGAGGGTGCTCGATGTCTTCGTTGGTTATCCCGACAATGTGCACGACGCCAGGGTGTTGTGGAACTCGTCATTGTTCAAGCGGGCGGGAGCTGTAACTTTATTCGAGGTCGAGCCGATCGTTCTTCCAGGAGGCGTGAGCACGAAAGGCTACCTTCTGGGTGACAACGGGTACGATCCGAAGACATGGATCGTTGTCCCTTACGGAGGAGTGGAGCAGCAATCGGACGTTGCCATCTTCTATGGGAAGCAGAAGGCAACGGGGGGAGTGGTGGAGAGGGCATTCGGGAGGCTGAAGGGAATGTGGAGGTTATTCCTTCGCCACCACAAGACGAATACGGCAAACATGCCACAACAGTTTCATGATGTCTGCATCCTCCACAACTTGCTTATTGAGGCGGGGATCGACTTCGATGAGAGGGTTCTTTTGGAGCTGGACGCGGACGGTAACGAGGGGATGGTGGACCTGGGAATGTATCCACCAGCGACACCTGTGCATCAAAGACGGGAGGACGCTACACTCGCCCTTAGGGATGCGCTCCGTGCACGTATGGCCATTCTACCCTGTTTTGAGAGAGAGAGAGAGAGAGAGAGACAGAGAGAGAGAGAGAGAGAGAGAGAGAGAGAGAGGGAGGGAGGGAGAGAGAGAGAGAGAGAGAGAGAGAGGGAGAGCGAGAGAGAGAGAGAGTCACTCCTTCCTGCATTTGGGAAACAATCAATATGCTGCCTCGTCCTTCTTCTCCACAAGTGGATGTTGATCCCTGAAGCCCATCCGTCGATCCAATGTATCATGACGCTTCCTCTACGGAGGCTTAATTTTGTTTGAAACGTGCTTTTTCTATGAATATTCGTTTTTGAATGTGGTTCTTGTGTCCGCTTTGTTGTTTAGTGATTTGGCAGAATGTGATTGTGCATTAAATGTACATTGCTTGATTTATACACTTGATCAGTGTTGCACAGAATGTGATTGTGCATTAAATGTACATTGCTTGATTTATACATTTGATCAGTGTTGCACACCCCGACGGTCGGCAGCCCTTGACTGGTCGGTTGCCGACCCGCCGACCGATCGGCTGGTCGGCACCTAGCAGTCGAGGATCATCG